TGTGTGACAGAATCCAGTGATAAACATGGAATACAGATTTCAAATTAAGGCCCCTCCCCTATATACACATAAAAACCCACCTTAACACACATCTCCAAAGTATATCATAATAAGAAGCACTCATCTAAAGTCTACTGATCTCTTGCGCTGGGCCAGGCACTGTACTAGGTCCTTTGCAGGGATTATGTCCATACCCACAATAAGTCTGTAATAAGAAACTGAGGCATGTGGGGAAGTCAAAGGACTGATCCAAACCATGCAGCCTATCCTGATCCTGAACACCACTGCCTCCAATGAAATAAGTTCTGCTCCAAGGGATCTGCATTCCTAATTTTGACCAAGATAACATTTCCCGAAGGCTGTGCATGTTTGCACAGCATGTGTGCTCGGCGCCTGTCATGCTTACATTTGTTTGGCTGGTGGGGGAATGAGTGCTGCCTTCTGGGGGCTGGGGGGGATGTCATGCAGCTGCTGCTTCCCTGGCTCCTGGGGAAAGACCACAAAGGAGAATGACTCAGATTTCTCCTTCCTGATGCCTGCACATCACAAACTCTCCCAACTCCAGCATTTTTTGTTTGTTTGTTTGTTGTTATTTTTTTCCAAACAAAACACAAATCACTAGAAGAGTTTGGGACTTTCAGTAGTGCTGCTTTTGTGGATGGAGGTGTGTATTGCACTGGGTATATTTTCAACAATGGACTCTGTGTTTTAAAAAAGACACCTTCTCAATTGAAGGTGGGGACATTCTTTGTGAGAATTAGCTGCATTTGCCTGAGCTAAAAATGGCAGTTCATTTCCTTCTGTAAGTTCACCTTAAGAATGAATTAAAGAAGAATAAATATAAGATGGGGACTTAAAATGGCTTGTCTTTTTTGTTTATCTCGATAGAGGTTTTCCTGTGCTTATAACTCATGTGCTCATCCTGCAAACATATACTGAGTGCCTACTACCTCCTCAACGCTGAGTCAAGTGACATCTATACACCCAGTAATGAGCAAAAGATGCTGTCCGTACAGATGATAGGCATTTAAAATTTTTTGCTGTTGTTTATTTTGGGGGGGAATGTAGTTTTATTTATTTATATATTCATTCATTTATTTATTTTTAACGGCGGCACTGGGGGTGGAACCCAGGACCTCGTGCATGCTAAGCACACCGTCTACCACTGAGCTCTACCCTCCCCACAATAGGCAGTTTTTTATGCAGCAATTAGGAAGTACATAAATGAGGATGTGATGAATAGATTGCACGTTCCAGAGTGAGGTGAGAGAACACCCAAACAGGTTTTGCAAAGACAGAGAGAAAAATTTGGAGTTTGGAGGGGCGTCTCTTTGGAGGGAGGTGGGCTGTGCGCCCCCTGCACTCTCCTCCTCAGTTGGTGAAGGAAGAGATGCTTTTCATTCCCTTCGAGCAAAGTGGAAAGTGCCCAGCAGACCTTCTGTGACTTGAGTTGTACCCCCTGATCTCGGGGTCATTGTGTGCAGGCTCTAACTCCGCTAGAGGGAAGTCAAAGCTGAGAGACTGATGACAAAGCACAGGGTGGTGGCTGTGCTGCAGAGCTTTGCTCTCAGGGCCAGGACCAGGGCGAGGAAAGGAAAGCGCCTTCTTGGCACAACACAGAGGGGCCCCACAAACTCAGGCACCAAGGGAAATGATAGTTTGATGCAGTAATTTTTTTTTGTAATTTTTTTTAATCGCAAACAATGTAAAAAAAAAAAACCAGAAAACCATGGTGAACAAAATGTCAGAACAAATGAAACAAGAAAAGATCAACAGGGCCGGGATGAGGGTGAGGCAAGTGAAGCGAGTTGTACAAATGGGTCTTTATATCAAACTTTGGTGCCCAAGGCAAGACCCTCATTCTCATC